CACCGTCTCTCAAAATGGTTGATGCCGAAAGCAGCGATTTTGTTTGTGTTTCTCTTGCACATTGGTCAAGAGTGTCAATACACTTTCTTTTTGTTGGTCTTAAAGCCATGGTTCATCTATACTTCGCGCTGCGTTTGCCTACCAATGTGGCACGGATCACTTCCAGTTCAGACTTGTGGGATTCATGCATGTTTAAGTATTCACATGCTAACAAAACACTATGGCATGGGAGTTTACCACAGAAAGACTCGCAATAAGCTACATTTAGCTTTTGTGAGATGTTAAAAAATGTAGGGATGCAAAGATTTTAGCAGTGTTAGTGTTCTATCGTTTGAGAGTTGTGGATTCTTTTTTCGTGAAACAGTAGAAACAGTACTGTGTGTTATGTTTTTATTCTAATAGCTAGAAGATAATTAGTTTTGACTAAATAACTGTTTGACTCACTAACATGCCAACCCCCAATGTGTTTGGACACTGTTTTAACAATTTCTAACAATGAGTTGGCATGAAAGCTAAATGAAACTCAATCAATGCTAGTTTTTTCATGTAAATTGTAATTTTAGATAAAAGCCCGGCTGTCACCTACATGTCTCCAAGTAATACTTTTACAGTAACATAACACTATTTTTATTTGATTTTTTTAAACTTACCACCATCGCAGGAAGATAATGTAAGCACTTGGGTTTCTCACTGCCATCAAAACTGATGTGGCCTTGAAGGGAAAATTGCTCGGCTTGGAGTCGACTGTGACAAGACACAAACAACACGTGAAAGGTAAAGTGGCCTTTTCATAGCGCTCCCAACACTCAGCGCAGACCATGAATTTACTGCCAATGATGTCCGTCCCACTTCATTTCAGAAATAAAAGAAATCACATCACGTTGGAAATTGCAGTACTTTGGAATGCCTGCGTAGTGCATGACTTGAGTTTTTGTCTGTTTCTTTGTTGATTTTTTTTAACCTTGAATACAGCTCCATGTTCTCATTATATTGCTTTTAGGGCTCTCTTTCGACCAAATAAAAAAGCGCGAGCGAGAAAACTTTGAAAACCGACTGTGACAATAATAAAATATTATGCTTGCATTACCTGTTTGAATTGTTTTCTTTGCAACTATAACCGTCAATGCTTTTCATTTAGGATTTGATTTAAAAGACAAATATAACTCCGTGAACAAAAATATGAAAAATATGTTCATTTAAACTCAGCCTTTATTGAGTCAAAGATACTTTTCATGTCTTTGGAGATGCTGCCAGTGATTTTTGTTTAACCAGAGCACATAACTATGCTCTGTTTTTGAAACTTTACACATAGTGGCAAAGAATTAGCAGCTTTTCCCCAAGAAAACTTTCTAAGCCTGGTTCTCAGGGTTCCAAGGCCGTCGGCCGGCCGCCATGTTTTTGAGTTAACATGTTTAAAGTTGACAAAAAATTTGAAAATATTACTTGATGGTTATCCATTTTTCCCAGACTGGAAGATTAATACCTAAACACCAAATATAAAGTCTTAAAAAAAGGCAATAATTTAAAAAAAATAAATAAATAAACTAAGATAAATTAACAATGCTAAGCCTGGTGGGGGTACAGGTGTAAAGCCTGGTGGCCTGTCAGACTTATAATACACTGAGGGAAATCCTAAATTAGCCATTCCCTTATAGATTTCCTTAAACTTTAGTTTTTTGGCATACTTAAAGGGTTCAAGTCATCGAGAAAATGTTCTTTATCAATGAGGACAACTCAAGTACATATGGAAAGCAGATTTTTATTTGAAGATTTAATTTATACTAATAGAGCATTTCAGAAAAAGTAATATTGCCTTAAGAACATACCAAACATCAGACATGGTGCTGGTAGTTGGGTGACTCCCATTTACAGTAGCTAACCTGTTTTGCTCTATTGGATAAAAACCTAATAAAATACAAAGAATTTTTTTTCTTCTTTTAGCTGGTGCAAGACAGAAAACATGTCTTTTCTGTTTGGTTCTGATGTTGCTTTGAAGAAGCTCAACAAAGGTTCGATGAAAGGAAGGTGGATCATTGATTGAGACAAGTGCAGCAGATATGGCTTCAAAAAATCCAAGATGAAATCAACACAGGAGATACATTTTGATTCAGGGCGCACCGTCTGGAGGAGAATTGATTGTCATGCTACTAGTTTCATTCCCTTCCCGTCGTAACAGATTGTCCACTCCGGACCGCTATTGATGGCCCTCGCTGCAGAGGTACAATATGTGAAAATAAGGCGCCGCAATGGAAATAACCCAAAGGATACGGTGGAAAAGAAGAAACAAAAGAAAGTGAATGAATTTCACAGGAAGGATGAATTACCAAAGGCAGGAGAGGAGAAAAGCAGCTGAAACTGACCTCATACTCTCCCGCTGGAAACCTGCATCGACTCCAGTTGTGTGAAAACTCCAAACTCTTTAAAGGTTTCTCTCTCATCAATGCAGCCGACAACAAATGCGCTGACTTATCAGGCATGAACCCACCGGGCCCTTTGCCCTCACATTACAGATTTCCTCCTAAGAACAAATGGGAAAACTCGATCCCGTGTTTCTGGCCTCTGCAGGCTAACAGATCTTTTTCTCTGAGTGCTGTGTGTATTTGGTGATGGTGGGTGGGGAACCAATCCCAGCATTGGGATATTGTATTTCCCATTACCGGAAAAGCCATCACATTTGTGAAAATCGACATGAGGACATAGGGAAAGAAATCAAAACAAATGAAATGAGTATGCTTGGTTAGCTGCTAGCATGCTATTGCTGCATAAATTAGGAGGTAATGTTGCCCATGTTGTTAAAATAAGTTAGTCTTGTTTGTTCTGATGGTTTTAATTTAATGTATGAATCTTATCGTTTTATATTAATGTCATTTTATGTGCATGAGACATAAGCTCTGATTTATTTGCAGTAGAGCTCTATGCTGGGGCAGTAACCCTTTTTTAATCCAGTGATGTTTATCAAATATGTTCAGAATTCCTTTCATATGTATCTGTTTTCATATAATCAAACCTTTCATTAAAATCTAAACTTGCAGTTTAAAAATAGCAAACTCTCAGGAAAAATAGATGTTTTTTCCTTATTGCCTGCTATATTTCAAATCACCCCTGTCAAATTTGCTCTTTATCCACATAGTCAATAAATCCAGACTCGGTTCATGAATAAAGCAATAAAAAAAAATGCATTTCGACACATTAAGTCATAAAGCTTGCCAACAGCTCAGGGCTCAGCCAGTGAACAGAGGAAAACTGTGACACCGTTGTCGGAATGTTCTGGTTTTCCGCTGTCGATCAGCCGAAGAAACGGCGAGTCAGAAACCCGCTGCTCCCTTTGTTCCGTACGCCCACTTCCCTTCCACCTTCACCGTTTCCCGCTCCTCCTCCTCCTCACCTCTCACCTCCACAGCAGGAAAGAAGGTTGTGGCTCCGGACCCAGAGCTCACATGAGGCTTCACATCGGAACGCTGCCATTCCGATCACGTCAGATAAGCCCTTCTCCTCGTTTGACTCGGCCTCTCTCCATCTGATCCCTCGGGCTTCCCCGCGCCGTCCAGGAAACGTTGGCGTTCGTTTGAAACATTCCTAGGCTGAACAAGGATGCACAAAGAATCTAAAGTATGGAAGATATCCGTATTTCCAGATTTTGATCTCTACTTTGTGATCTCATTAGCTGCGTTTCCATTAACCACAAAGTTGCACAAATTTTAAATTACAAAAATAAGTTTAATTGAAACATTGCAATTTTTTCATAAAAGGTCTTTGCGATAGGACGATGTGGTTTTTCAGTCAACTGCAATGGAAGTAATTTTTTCGGGTCACATGATCCAGCCAGATGTTTCTACTGGTGGAAACGACAAAGAAGACAACAGGAAGTGGTAGGAGGATGATAATTTGCTTCATTCTTTTTGATTCCTCCTTCTTATTTCCTTTACTCCATCTTCCCTTTCTTTCTTCTATGTTGGCTTGTTATCTGGTCATCTTTTCCTCTTTTTTATTCTTTACTTTCCTTTTCATATTAACTCTTTCCTCCCTTCCCTGTTTGACCTTTTCTTTACTTTTATTCTTTTCTTTCATTCTTCCCTTGCATCGCTTCATCTTCAATTCTTCCAACTTTGTTTTTCCTTTTCTTTCTTACCCATTCTTTCATGCATTTTTCAGTTTTTACTTTTCTTGTCTTTTCCTTTTTTCTTTGTTTTTTTCACATTTTTTGTTTGCCTTTCCTTCTCGTTCCATTTTTAGTTCCCTTTTCCCTCTGTCCTTCCTTATTCTTTTTCTTTCTTACCCCTTCTTTAATTTCTTTTGTCTTTTTGTTTTTTGTCTCTCCTTGTTTGCTTTTAGTTCTCTTTTCCCTCTGTCCTTTCTTCTTTGTATGTCCTCTTCCATTCCCCCTTTGCTCTTTTCTTTGTCAAAAAACAAAATAAACTCCCTCTGTGAGACTGAATTGTGGGGAGTGTACAGAAGCATGATGCGAACAGCTGACATGTCCATCATTACCTTTGAATGGTGACCAATTACAACCTCTTTGTTTCCACAGTTTCAGCAGGTGGAAGACTAAAGATTTCCAAAATTGCCAGGCCCCAGGGTGCCCCCTGCCTGTCAGCCTCTTTATCACCAAAATGGCCGTCACGCAGAGCCACGCGCTGCTTCAGTTTAGCGCCGCAGCGTTCAGCCTGAGGCCGCTGGCCTCTGCTCACGCTAAACGACTTTCATTGTAATTGCAGAGCTGCTTTGATGACAGTTTAACGTAAAAAGCAGCAGCAGCAAGAAAATGATGAAAAACTCCCGTAATCTGGCATAAGGCTTCCTCTATGATGCAATCCAATCAAAGGTCGTTTTAACATTTGTCATTTTGACACTTTTTTTTTTTCTCTCTTCAGGTTAGAATCCTAAATTCAAAGTCATTTGCAGGAAGAACAGGCATCTTTGCTGAGGGCTTGCTCATTATGCAAACTTCTGCTCCGTCAGGCTGTTTTATATATATATATATATATATTTACCAGAACTGGGTGTCCTGAAGCCTTTCCACTTTCCTTATTCCAACTACCGACAATACGCTTCGTTCTGTTAAAGCTACGTGGAGATGCGGGTTAACTTGTTGAGCGTTGCGCCTCTGAGACTGTGCAGGTGTTGATTTATTACCTAAAATAAGCAATGCTGAGGTTTTTTACTGGCAGTACTGAGATTGAAATAAATATTCCAATCCCAGAAGTAAAATGTAAGACTTCTTCCTTTCTCCTTCCAGGTGTGTGTTCCAGGTGCAGCTCGCCTCTCCACCTGCTTCCTGTTTATTATCTCCACCCTGCAGCAGCCAAGTGTTGCTTCTGTCATTGTTACAAGCTGGGTTTCCTCAGTGCTGCTTCCTGTAGTACTTATTTCAATTTGAGATCTTTTTAATTGAGCAATAATTATTATTTTTCTCTGATATGTTAGATGTTCACCTGGTTTCAAACTTCCGTCTCTGTTTTGGGGCTTTACTGCTGGAGCTTTGAAGTCCATGTCTGCCTGAGAGGATTTGGATTCTGTTCATTGGAAGCATCAAATTAAAAGCGTATTTGTTCAAAGATAACTAACTTAATCATTTACACAGTTCATGTTTTACATCAGAAAAGTTGAAGCACCTCCATCCCATTCTTATGGAAGAGGATTGGGACCAGTGGGAAAAAAAAAAAAAAAGTAATTCAGATTTTTCCCTTAGAGTTTTGACTTTAATATTCTGAGAAAAAAGTCAGAATTTTGAGGAAGAATAATTTTTTTCAGTGGACATAATTCTCATGTAGTTTTGAATCACTTTTAGATATCAGTAAAATGTATTATGTCGTTTTTTTAATTTCACGTCCATTTGGATGGATACAACAACGTGTCTATTTTTATGTGCTTTTTCTCATCTGTCCTTGTCCAGTTTCTGTCTCCATTAAACTCTAAATGTAAACTGTGGATGTTGATGACTGAAAAACAGACACAAAAACCAAAACAGAGACCAAGAAGTTTAGGGAAGATAATCTGCTTTTAAATTTTAACATTTTCTCGCCACCGCCACCTGCTGGTGTGGCAGAGGTACCACTGCTTGGTCAAGTAGGATCCCAGAAACCAAGAAAACACATTTTATTGTGTAGAAAAACTAAATAAATGTAGAATAATTATCTTCAGGCATTTTCCGTGGACAGTTTATGCGTTTCTTGCATGGGAAACATCTAAAAAAAAAAAAAAGAAAACCTACAGATTTCTTCTCAAATTTGCAAACAAAGAAAAAAGCACAAAAAAATGAACCTAGCTTCTTTCTTCCTCTCATCTAAAGGCTTGCCACTTCACAAACCATCAGCTGCCATGGATGATGCCGGCTGCACCGTGATTATCCCCATGTTTCTTCTTCTTCCCAGCTGCTTCTCATTACTTTGTATCAATACAACCCGGCCTTCTCACTGGCAGAAATTAGATTCATACATGCGCCCAAAGTCAGGTGCGCCGCTTCAAAGTGTCATCCACGTGTGGAATTTGTGACAGCGGCGGTGTGTTTGTGGTCCCTTTGTGAAGTCGGTTATTTGGAGGCAGCGGGCCGGGGGAGACGGTCCCGCGCGTTCCTGTCACACTGTTTGAGATTTAAAAAGGAAATGAGGAGCGCGCGCGGTTTCACACACACGGGTGTTAATTAGCACACACTGTGCTTCCATCCAGCAGTAAAACTGTGTGGTATGTTTTTTTTTTTTTTGTGTGTGGCATTAATTTCAAAGTCCCAATGGATTCACACTGCTCAATTTTTCATTCAGAAGAGAAACATTTGAGAGATTCAATTGTTTTTACCTGCATGCTACTAAATTCTTTACATTTTATTCATAACGACAAGATTCAGATGGGGGGTTTTGTATGTTGGACTCTCATTTTAGAGAAATGAGAACGAGGTTGGGGTTTAATAACCAAACGGACACATGGTGTGGAGAAGCATGGCAAGAATCCTCCCTGGCAAGGGCTCGGAAAAACAGACATTTTGGTTCAGTACACAGGTCGATAATCCCACCACCACACTCAGGTGTCTCCATGTTGCCACCAGCAGCTGTAGGTTTTTCTTTAATTCTTCACTTTCTCATTGCTGTAGGTGGCCCACACTGCCCCCTAGAGTCTAGCAGAATATGGGATAACATGTGGATGAGCCACATGGGGTATAAATGCCACAAAAGTTGTGTTAGGCAGATTGTGAGTATCTATTATCTGTGCGAAATGAGATGAATCTCAGAAATCTTCCAGACAAAACTTGGAAATTTCTGAGTTTGAAAAGTCAAAAAACTTTACTCCTCCTTTTTTTTCTTATCTACAAAGGCCCTACTACGCCATCGAACAAACTACATAAAACAACAGACAACTTTTAAACCAGAAGAAAAAAATGAACAAAATTCTGGAAAAAGAACAAGTAAGAACTTTTGCCAGATTCTGACCAGCATCTGAATATTGTCTCTAAAGTTTTCCTCTCTATGTTGGCGATGAACGAATCAGTTTCCTACTGTTAGCTGACAGGAGCAGCTTCTGCTGCTGTTGCCCATCTGCTGTGAGGTCAAAGGTGAAAGGTGGTGTGCATCCAGGGATGGTATGCCACATACTTTGGTAATTAATTAGGCTGCTGTTGGCGTTCTGTCATCTCCAACCAGTCTGCCCATTGTCCTCTGAACTTTGACATTGGCCAGATTATTGTGGACATTTTCTCTTCTCTGACTGTTCTCTGGAAAAATGAGAGATGGAAGAAAATCCAACCAGATCAGCAGTTTCTGACATAACATATATATATATATATATATATATATATATATATATATATATATATATATATATTTATTTTTTTTTAACATTAGTGACAAAGACAACTTTGTCACTTTGCTGGTACTTTAATGACAATGAATACATTATGGTTAACTACAATTATTCAGTTAATCATAGTTAACTAACTAAATAACTATTAATTAATTAACTAATAATTAACTATTAATTACTAGTTACTATTTTGGTAATAATTAACTATTAATAATCAGTTAAAATAATAAACAATAAAAATCTGAAGAATTAAAAATCATAATATCTGTAAAATTGTAATAAATACACGCAGTAGGGAAAGGGTTAACCTTAGCCGTTACATTGACTAAAATGCTGGTATGTTTTTGTAAATTAACAGGTAAACACCAGCTGCAATGCCTTAAAACATAAAATTCATAAACAGCCAAACCCAAAAGAGAAATCCTACAACCACTAAAATCTGATGCTACTCCGTTTTTACAGAGGAGGAAGTTGGCCTGATGTCTTCTTCAGAGGTTTTTGTGTTGTTTCCTTATAGTGGTTTTTGGTGCAGCGCCCCCGCAGCTGAGGAGGGGGACAGGGTTTTCCAAAAGTTGGTTTGTTTGACACAGTGTGGTGTGAAAGAGAACCACAGCAGCTGAAAATGTAACAAAGGTTGCGATTTTGATCCCCAATCCCACCGAATCTAAAACAACCTTGAAGTGGCACTGCAACAAGAACCACTGAAAGAAATGACTCAAAAATCTCAGAAGACACTGAGCACAACTTTCTTCTTCACAAAATAGAAACCAAAATGGAGTAGCATCAGATTTTAGCGGTTGTTGGATTTCTCTTGCTAACGCTAGACTCATGAGTTTGTTTTGGTTGTATTTACCCAGAATGCCCTACGCTATAGTCCACTTCCTCCTTTTGGAGTGGGTCTCTGGTCCATTTGTATTTGAACTGCGATAAAGTTCACTTCAGCCGAACCAAGACCAGAGTTTGCTTTTTGGTCTGCATAAAAGTTTGTTAGTGCGTTCACACCTCCCCAAACAAATCGGATTTTCCAAACAAACGAACTAGAGTTTGATTAAATGAACCAAACAGGACTGGTGTGAATGCACCTTAAATGTGGCAGACATATTTATTAGTTGTATAATTGTAGTTAAAAAACTTACAAAGCAAATTTAGAATGACGAACTGAAGTTCTTGAGCAATGTTGCATCTCCTTACTATTGCAAAAACAAAGCTCCCCACACCGACCCAATCACCAAACCTCTCTCTCCCTCGCCCTCTCTGGTGATTATGATTGCTCAAGAAACATCGTATAATATCACAATTGCCTCGCCTGATTAATTGCCCTCCAGATGCATTCTGCATATAGGCCCACACTCAACTCAAGGGCAGCCACCTGGCGTCTGCGGCACGGTGTGAGGAGAGAGCTGCCTGCTCATCACCGTTTGATCCTGCCAGCCGAGCCGCGTTTTATCAGGACAGCTAATTACAGACAACGAGCGATGCGGAGATGGCACCCTGCCTCCGGGGGAACGCCGCATGCCCACGCATTCATTTCCAGCCCAGCGCTGAGAGGCATCTGCCGCGACGCAATCGGTCGACAGACATTCACCGCCATCCATTTGTCAACGGGGGAGAGGGGGAACGGCTTGGCTACCAGCCGCCGTTGGTCAGCGATGGAAACGTTTCTCCTGCCCCAGTTTGAGGCTGTTGACCTCTGCTGCTTTGTTTCTAAAAGTGTGTGCTACAAGGATTTATCTAGTTTGGAGGAGGAAACAATGTCCCTGAGCTCTTCCAAGCAGAGGTTACCTGAAATAACACCATGATTCATGATTTTCTTTTTGTCCTTTTAATTTCAGAAACTATCTTTTCAGGGGGGAATAGTAGCTGGCAGCTATGACAGACCAATGAGTTTCTGCAATGTTTATGTTAATAGAAAAAGCACAGCCTCAAACAAACAAGATTCATATCTGCTTAATCAGTCATAATTAATAACTGCCTCATGTTTTTCCCCCATTTTTATTCATTATCTGAAATTAATAATTTACAACAGGAAGTGAAAACAAGCTGATATTCTCCTTAGTTGGTCCCAATAAGTTTGACTGGATTTCAGTGGGAATTCATGTGAGAAACAAACACAAGTAAAAACACAAAAGCAATTCTGTATGATAAATATCCTGCAGATAATCACAGCCCGAAAACGTTTCACATTTTGTCACAACCACAAGAGTCAACGTATCAGAACTGCTCTGTTGTTAGATCCAAGAACTTTCGTTAGTTCTGTCCAGAACTAGTTCAAGGAATTTCAATTGGATCACAGAGGCTGTCGCTACACATTCACAATACTGGACTGTACCCAGGGGCGCAACTACATATTATTCAGGTGGATGCGAAAACATAAATCGGCGCCTCCTCCCCCCAAAGGAAGGTATGTAAGGGTAAAGGAGCATAGAAAACGTGAAAGGTAAAACTCGCTACATTTACATTTATATGTGCGCGAGGTGAAGGAGCGTAAGTGCGCGGTGAAGTGTATGCGAAGGCATCATCGGGGCGCCGCCCCTCCAGACGGGGTTTTGACGCCCCCTCTGGTGCAGCGCCCCTATACGTTGCATGCACTGCATACCCACTTTTTGCGCCACTGACTGTACCCACCTATGCATAATAGTCCCTACAGATTTTGATGAACGATAAATTGTCCCAGACATTATTGCCACAAACGATAATATTGTCATTTTGAGATAATTTTCAACTAATATAATAATAAATAATAGAATATTAATGTCAGTCTCCTTGCAAATTTCCTACATCCAAAATGTTCACTCAGTCACAGATCTAGGGGAAAGAAAGCGTAACGTTACGTAAATATTTAATGGCAGTCGAGTGTGGCCAAGACGTTTACAGTTTGAGGGACAATAATATTTATACAGGAAGCTGTATTACTTGCAAAAATGAAATGTTTTCCAATAAACTGTTTGATGCAAAGACTTAATCATCTGAAAGATTGAAAGTATGATAAAAGAAGAAGTGGGTTGCATTGGCTTCTATTTGCTGGCATCAGAAACTAAATAGTTTAACATAAATCCACACATTGTTCAATTATTTGTAGCGAAAGAAAAGACAGATACCATTTTACAATACAGAGAAGTTTGTGGTTGTAGC